AGCGGGATGTTAATCTCAATCAATGGCACTATTTGCTAAAGTAAATCTTACATGATCTCTGAGTGGGAAAACATTTTCAGGGCAAACGGAAATGGGAATTCATCTGAGCTACACATTCACCGTTTGTTTTTGTTTTTTAGCCACATTGATATGGAAGCGAGGCGTCCATTTTCACCACGGCGGACCAAAGTTATTGCCGGAAGCTCTCGTGTTTTCCAGGTGTTTTCCAGGTGTTTTAAAGCCGTACGGCGGTACGGGGACTGGCAGAGAGGAAACCCAGCTTTGTGCACAGTGCTGGGTCACACCGCTCTCTGTATCTCCCACTCTCTCAGAAATAGGAACAAAAAGTATATCGATAATATCGCAATAAGAAGTAAGGACCTATTAAACCACTTTTCACCCCCTGGGCTTGTTCTTTTCCTTTGGCTCTGTGCGTTCTGAGTTCGTTTACTGACTCCTTCAGCAGCTAAACCAATGAAGAAGACACACCAGCGTTACACACCAGGTGTTAGCATGTCCGTTAGCATGTCTGTTAGCATGCGTGCGCCTCTTGTTGGGTGTACCACTGGTGGAATTCATCTAACCTGGAGCGAATTAGCCCAGAGAGGTGGATCATTTCCGTCAAAGTAACGTGGGGATGTGGGCAGCTCGTCCTTCTAGTCCAACACTTTAAAACCCCTTTCCAGATGTGCAGGCCTCCAATCAGAGATGCCGGCTTTTAAAGTGAGCGTTAGCGGTCATCTGAGTAAACCCTGACCTCTGACCCCTGACCCAGGTTTTCTGAGATGTGTTGCTGCCGTCAAATAAAGGATGAGCGGGGATCTTTTTTGAAATAGTTCATATTCTAGTTTCCTACAGTTGATATGTTTTCGTGGTCTATTGTGAATAAAATGACAATTCATACAATCTTATTTTCTTTTTTAACTGTTATACTTTAAAAAAAAAACAATAAGCAATTTTAAGAGGAACTATTCGAACATTTTAAATAGATAAATACACTATGATACAATTCCAGCTTATATAGGCTTATCACCAGCAATGACAGTGGAAATAGTATTCATGGTAAATAGTAATGATGATCGTACAAGTACATAAAAAGCCAACATGAGAGATTGAGTGGTTTGTGTGTTTGTGAGGTCGGAAATATTAGAATTTAAAGTAGTATCAGGTGGTAGTTAATTAGTTTCGGTAATATTTTTTATTTCCAATGTGACCCACAAACATGAAAGTGAAAAGGAAATGTACAGAATAAGTGCCATCCATATACCACATAAGCAAGCGTTACTGTGTGTAATTTCCTAAAATGCCTGTGAATAAAACCCTCTCAGTCTTTCCAGACCCCACGAAAAAAAACTATAGAAGCTTGGGATAAAAACAGTTTTCTTAATGTTTAACTAGAATTTGATCTTTTTTTTTTTTTATAGATTTTATAATGATCCACCTGTTCCTCATTGGCCCAAAAAAAATTAAAGAGCTTTCTTTCATGGCCGTTTACTCCTCTTTTTTTCTGGTTTCCCCCTTCTCTTGGTGGTTTGGCGGTTTTGCAGTTCCCCATCCCGGCCGCCGGGGGGCGGTAAATGTCTTTCTCTTCTCCGGGCCGACACGACAGAAGAAGCGGGTCGAGTTAAACGTGTAAACTGCTGATCTCGCCGATGCCCCAAAAAGTATTCCAGTTGTCGTAACGCAGACGGCTGAGATGGATAATGACATTCTCATTTCTCTCGAGGACTTAGGGTAAGTGGAGGAAGAAGAAAAGTTGTCGTGCGCGTGGAGCCCTGTTGAGAACTCCCGTTTTTCGGTGGCCGGCTCCGTTTCTCCCCCGTTAGCCGGTGACAGGGGTCCCGTTAGCTTGTTGCTAGGTGGCTGCTAATTGTTTCTATTGAACCATTGTGGGGATAAGACGCAGGAAAATGAGCCGCCTGGTCTTTTCCGGGCGCGGTTAAACGCACGCGGGTTGTGCGTGGCCCGTCCGGAGGTCAGGTGACCGACGGCACCTGAACCGGGCGCCGGTGTTCAGTCGGGTCAGCATACCCCCGTCAGACCAGCACACCCATAGTCAATGCGCATGCGCAAGACCTGACAAATTTTCGTACAGGGTAAAACTAGTCTGACAGTATAAGTGTCAGATTAGCATACCCCCGTCAAAACGGTTGTAGTTGAAGGTAAACACACAAACTTACCAGAAAACCACACCGAAAGTCAAGTACTTTTGTTTATTTATGGGTGATGTAGTAAACAAAACGTTTTAGTCAAGTACTTTTGTTTATTTATGGGTGATGTAGTAAACAAAACGATTTTGTCTGAGGTAAACAGAATTTAGTAGCGAACTGCTTTGAATTTGATTCTCTGACGGGCTAAGTATGAGGATCTGACGGGCTAGGTATGAGGATCTGACGGGCTATGTATGATGATCTGACGGGCTAGGTATGACGATCTGACGGGCTAGGTATGACGATCTTATGATGATCTGACGGGCTATGTATGATGATCTGACGGGCTAGTTATGATGATCTGACGGGCTAGGTATGACAATCTGACGGGCTAAGTATGACGATCTGACAGGCTAAGTATGACGATCTGACAGGCTAAGTATGACGATCTGACAGGCTAAGTATGAGGATCTGACATGTTAGGTATGACGATCTGACGGGCTAAGTATGATCTGACGGGCAAAGTATGAGCTTAGTATGATGATCTGACAGGCTAGGTATGAGGATCTGACGAGCTAAGTATGAGGATCTGACGGGCTAAGTATGAGGATCTGTTTGGCTCCAGGTACCAGGGCCCCCTGCTGGAGGACCGGGCCCTGGACTCCGCCGTGTGCTCCGGGGCGGTGTCGCCCGAGTTCACCAAGCTCTGCGCCTGGGTCGTCTCCGAGCTGA